GCTAATAACCGAATCAACTTGTGAATATTGTTTAATGAAGGTTAGTCATTGTCTGCCACAAAGACGATACAACACCTCTGAAGACAGTCAGTCATAGTCAAGATCATCAGTACAGACAGATATATCATTCATGGAGAATTTGTAACAACTCATTTTGCATTGAAGTAAGCACTGCTCAGACAAAAGTAATGAAAGATTCCCAAGTAAACCAACCAGTTCATAGGACACAACCACGACAAAAACGATTTGTAACCAATTTAAAAATCCCCGCTGAGTTATATAAAAGAAAAAAATTACAGCAAAGAGTTACTCTTTTCAGTGAAATCATTCGGAGGCTGCACAATCTCATATTTGCAGTAAATTTTAATAGCAATAAAAGGAATGTTCTCAAAATTGTGTCATTAAAATTGTAAATTTTCGATAACAATTACGTTAAACAGAAAACGTTAATCGGGTAGAAACTGAAATCAAAATTAAATAAGTAAATTCTATGTCGTAATGTAATTGACGGAATTGAGTAGAACTAGGTATGTCGACTGTACTCAGCCTTAGCTGCTCAAACTTATCATCGAACAATTACCATCATAGTTTTATGAAGGCAAAAATACATCCCCCGAAGCTCTATTCTGGAACTCCCGGTCGACTCTAGACATAAAGCGAACCAGAAAACCAACTTTAGAGTACTCGGAATTCTCGCCAAAGCAGTGCAAATCAAACTTCTTCAAACCGAAGAAGCGATGGCAATCTGTGATGGACGGAAAATATCAAATTATACGTTCACCGTAAAATAGTAAAAATAATGAATTTACGGAAAATCATAGTTTTTACGTGAGATAGAACAAGGACACTACCTGGTTCCGCGCGCAATACGGACGACACTTCTTCCCTCTCCAGCTTCTCACTTTCCACATCTGCCAACAAACTCTGACTCGTACCTGATCAGTACATCCAAATTAGGATCCTTTGCTCCAATCTACTTTTCTCCCCGCAAGTGCTCTCCGGCAGTTGGCATCTCTTACGTTTAGTTGAGGATCTGTATAATCAAGGAAAGCACAGTTTCATCCCTACCATTCTGTACGTCTATATTTGAGTATTTTGGGACCATTATAACTTTTCAAATAACTGCATTTTATGTGTATATTAATTCTTGTAGACTGAATACCCTTCTACATACATATATGTTTGTATTTGTTTTGTCCTCTTTATTTCGCGTATAAACGAACTTAGCCGTTTAGTCCACTACAAATCCAAATTAAATCGAGAACCATGAACGTAGAAGTTTGTCCAATCACTGAGCCTACGATGGATCTAACTTTTTATAATTATATTGTTTGTCTCTCCTCAGCTATTACATTTCTACTCTTTTTGACACTGATCTTAACTTGACTCTCCTTCAATTTTAGTTGAGTTTCACTCAATGTCGTCAATTACATTGGTCACGGAATTTACTTATTGAAATTTATTTCAGTTTCTACCTGATTAATGCTTTCTGTTTAACGTAATTATTATCTAAAACTTACAATTCTAATGACATGAATTTGGGGATATTACTTTTGTTTTTTACCATATATATATATATATATATATATATATATTTATATATTTATATATATATATATATGACAGTACAGTTTCAACCTGCTTATTTCATGATAAACTATTCATAAACAAAAGTGAATTTTTAAGATTCATTTGCAAATATATTTGATCATAAGCACAATTATAAAATTTCGATGAAATAAAATGTCTGTTCATTGCTTCCTGTATATTTGTACAAGGTCTTTTAAGTAATCTGATTTCATGAATAAATATACGGTCTCTTTCTTGTTATGACGAAGTGATATTGAGTTTTGGGTTCGTCTAACGTGACTAGAATGCACCTACAAAACGCAACACTAAAACCAACTGAACACATGAGAATATCTCCCACACTAAGATATACACAAAAGCCAGACTAGGGAAAAACGACGAACGGAACGACAACACCTTTTATTGGACAAAATACATGGTATATTACATTTACAAACCCTCAGAAATCTAAGCTGTACATAATACAAATCTGATTGGTTGTATGACATCAGAAAATTAACCTATAAATGAACGAATCAAAACTGTTCACTAAGGCCGCCATGTTAGTACATGCATAGAGCACAACTTCACGACTAATAAATAAACTTGTCTGTCCTAACAGTCCCTTTATTGTATAAATTAGGAATATTTCGTTAAAATTTATAAGGATATCCCGAAAATTGTATCTACCCATAAACACATCGAAGTGCACCTTGTTGGAGAATCTGCTAGCGGAATCGACTGGTAGAATCTGGTAGGCGCTGAAGACTAGATGGTATGACACTGATTACTTCTTTGTAACCAATCAGTGTGCTGTACAATGGTAAACTAAATAAGCTGAGCGTCCACAAACAGAAGAATTCATGAACTACATTCAAACTCTATCAATCTTCGACATGACAATGTGAGCATCAGAGATACACATTGTGGAGAAGAAAAAATGCATCCAAGAGCTTCAGTGGTAAATCAAAAAGTCACCATATTTTCTCACTTCTCTCGTGTTACTCTAATTTGTTTCTTAGAATCTACGTTTTTGTTAGAGAACTAAAACCAATGACTTATTAAGTGTAATTCAAGTATACAGGCAATTTTCAAGTAAAAAGTAAACACGATCTATGCACTAAGTTAAACATTTCTCAAAAATGCAAATCAAAGAATATATCCCGTAAACAATACGTGTAGCAGTGTAGCAGCAGATGAGGCCTTTTTCTATTCCATCGATGTATATGATTGAGAAGAGCATAGACTTGCCGCAGGTGAGTTATTTCAAACTCCTACACCTTGTCAATGAACACATCAATCCATTGCTTAGTCTTCGTTCAGGATCTCAATCATATTTTAATACAAATGAAGTCACAAACTGACCGCGAAAAATACTCATCCATAATTGGAGATAAGAACCAAACAATTCAGCGAATAAGCTCACTTCATTTATAAGAGTCTATGAAAATGTCGGTTCGTCTACCGTGAGGGGTTGGACAAATACACTTATGACGTGAAATCGTCAATCTTTGCATATCGTCTATTCATAGATGTAGAGCAGGACAGGGAGAAGTGTTGCACAGTAGACGTCCTTTGATCGATAGCTGGATATCATGCAGGTGCATTACTTTAAGTGTGACGGCGATGAATAGTGTGCTAAACATATTTAGAATTTTGCTTAAGGTGTTTGGCAGACTTCATTTTACCAGCTTCTTCACTTAGAAGGACCTTAATTCTACATCTAACTTCTGAAAATTTTACGTATTTGCCTCTCGTAAACTCAAAACTGTCTAGGATAAGTTGGGAAAGAGTTAAGAACGACCAAAGAAAAAGAGGGCATTAATTCATGAACTCTTTCAACATCGGTTTGTGCCAGGTAGGTCTGTTTGTGTAAGGTCATTTAGACGCTACAAATCAGTACCTGAAGACTGTTGGTGATATGGTTCGAAATAGTGTTTAATCATTCAGATACATTGACTCTTTGTGATCTCCCACCCTTATTAAATCCATATTATTCCCCATTTAATTATTCTTTCTTCAGAACATTTCCGTTTAATATAGTTTCTTAATTATCTCTAACTTTGTGTGGAAAAATGATTAATAGAATGAATACAAGTAAAGGATCTCTGATTCAGTAAAACAATGACCTCACTGTCTGCCACCTCGAGTAATAACTCGAGGTAATAACCAGTGAATTCAAGTCACAATTCTAAAATACCTCTATTGAAAATTCCCTTAAGATCTCTTTTTTCCTGTAATTCCAATTTTGAAGATTTATACCTATTTCCGACTAATATCACAGCGGTTAGTAGTATCTGACAAATAGATTAAATTTTCTTCAGTGTTTCTTCTATATTTTCAGTCATTACTAGAAATGATTCATGGAGTCGAATGAATTGTCCCCTTTACCACAAGTTTACTTTTACTGCCATAATCTTAAATTTACAGGCAAATTTCTGCTGCTAATCATGACGTAGACAATTTGTCAACAGAAAAAACAATATTACCTCCACTTCTAATGTTTCACCGATTCGTAATAAGCACTATAGGTTCTCTGGCATATTAGAACCCTTCTAAGGCCAGAAAGGATAAGTAACATAGAACTCTGGCATCGAATCAACCAAGAGCATGCTGCCCAATAAATACATGGAAGGAAAGGAAGACGGATTGCACATGCTGTGAGAAGACCATCAGGTGACCACGCACCAGGCCTTCCAAAGGAACTCAAACAGGAAAAGATAAGTTGGGTGTCTTAAGGTGACATATAGGAGGTCATGTGACGATGGAATGAAAGCTTATGGGCAGTCGTGGAGTCGACTGAAAATTATGGCAGAGAAGAGGGTGAAATGGAGATGTGGTGCTGAAGCCCTATATTGCACACGGAACCTAAGAGAATAATAATAATAGTAAAATACAATCTTTAATACTTTTTAGTTAAGTTAGTAGTGAAAACGTCATGAAGCCGAATGATAAAAAGTCAAAAGTAAAGTATCAAATCTTGGGGAGAACTAAAAGATTACTTGTGAGCTAAAAGTATTTTAAGATAGGCCTAGATAATTAAGCAATCAAAGCTGTAGCCATTATCATTTCGTTGGGATAAAGAGCTAAGAGCCTTGACACATGTCAGAATGGCATTTCGTTGGATGATAGACAATATTCTTTCGAACCGATCCTTGGTACCTACCGGTGATTGCCTGGGAAAGAACCAACAAAAGCACAAAGGTGTGCATACCACTCCCATGACGTTAATGTCCCACTTAACTGAACGTTATACTTATTAAAAACCTGTGAAATTTTAAATCACTCACTGACTTCTTTCTACGCCAAATAAATACAACTAAAAACCGAACAAAATTACAGTAGCATACCCTAGCTGTCTACCTTCTGAGAGTGTATCGCACTTCACTACTTCAAATACAAAACCTGAATGTATACAAAATTGTGTATTTTTAGCCAGTATTTTTATCATTATTGGTAAATTCATCCTCAGAATCTGAAGTATCGGAGCATGAAGGAAGCATATCTTCTGAGATGTAATTCTCATTCTTTTTCGAGGCCTCACTTGAAATGTTCACGGAAAAGCTTTCTGGCCTAGTTGAATAGCAAGAAATAAAAAAACAATTAAAGTATTTTTTTAAGAATCCAGTTGTGGAAGAAAATTACATTAAATGATGAAATCCTAAAGACATACTCGAAATAGTAAGAAGTGAATATCGCAGATACTAATTAGTAATTTAGAATTTAAATCGTAATTACTGCTGAAATTAGTTGATACTATCTCGCATGATTTATGATTAACTGGAGTTAGCTTACTGACTCATTTAACTCAGCAACCATTTGCATTTCCGTGCAGTCAACAAAGAACCACACTTATTGTGTGAGGGCTACTGATACTATCTGGATGCCCAAATATCGTTAGGTGGGTGTGTTTAGGATCGTGACCCAGTGGTTAGTAGTCAAGCTCCCATACCACTGAGTCACATCTGCACTTGAGAAAAGCTAATAAAGCTAACAATTTTACTTCATTTAATAACGCATTAGTTATTGAAACCTATTGCATAAATCAATACTGTTAATAAACAATTATCCATAGGAAGACAGAAAGATTACAACATAATTATCATATGGTGAACCATGTGTATGGAAAGAACAGAGGATAATCCAGCTGAATTGTTTCGACTATGAGTTCACAGTATATTACACCATCTTCTGACAGCACTCCGTCAGGAATACCTTTTGATGTTCGTTCACGATATTTTTCTAAACGGTTAGCCATAATTCTACTTATATTCGTCACTCAAGACATTTAACGGGAGGTAGTTAAGGAGTTTAATGTCGTTCAAAATTAGATCGAAAAATGCAACTTTTCATTTAGAATAGAAAATGTTAGGGTGAGTTTAAAGTAAATAACTAAAGATAATTACTTCGGTGCAATACGTTTACGAAAACTATGCCTCATAATTTAATAAAATATTGACTGTTGACTAGTCTCATCAAGACATACATTAAAGATGATTGGAAATATTGTGCTCAAGATTGAAGGCAAGACTGTAGATGCAGCCCTGAACAACGTATGTAGGATCTGATGGTGTGACTCCACGGGGACTTAATGATGGTGGTAAGGAATTATCGTCTAGATTAGGTGGAATATTAGTTGGTATGTGAGGATCTGAGAGGCTCCCATTGGGATGACGTAGACCATTGATTATTCCAGTCAGAAAGAAAGTGGACATATCTTCTTGCGATAATCGCTCAAAACAACAATCACAGACATCTAGTTTTGATTTCACCATCAGTAACCGTTTTCCAACCTAATACTATGTCAGTTAACATTGCTAAACGAAGAAGGCGATAGCTTGGCGTGCAACCTCAATTAAAGTAGCTGCACAACCTCATCGGTTGACTTGTCCTCCTTACCTAACCACAATATTATACCATTCAACACGGCGACATGACCCAAAATCTTTGCGATAGCCCAGATGTACTTATTCCTTGTTGCTTTGCACATTCTAAAAACGCTTACTAGTCCACTATTAATTAATTCCTCTCCCGTGCATTATTTATTATCGTTACAATACATTTTTCATCTACTTTTAGGTGATTCCACAAAGTAAGGAATGTTAAAATGACGTTTGGTGAACCAAACAATATCCTTTCAGACGCTGATTAGTACATTGCTTCGTTTAACTGTCCCTTTAGTAATTATACCATAATCGTTTATTTGAATAGTGTATAAATTATATATATAATTTTTAATGTAGCTTTACAATACCAAGAAAAGTCAATAAAACTTTGCACAATTGAGATCATGTGCTTTTTTCTTAACGGTAAATCTTTTGAACAAAGAACTATAAGGTTGTTATCAACAATGAGTTGAGACATTTTGTTTTAGGACCTAAAAGACAAATTCAAAGATGAATATATTTTCCAAACTTGATAGTAACTAATAAAAGCATCTGGTTGTGACATCACTAGTTCTTAGCTTTAAAAAATGCCTATGAAACCAGGACTTTCATCGTAAAAATGTTTATAATTATTTTACTTAAAATTTAAAATACAGTCATAAAAATTTGCGAAGCTGAAAAAGCTCACCATCGCCCAGAATTCATCAACGACTTGATATCATCCTTTTGTAATACAGCACGAATTTCACCTTTGACTTTCTTGTTATTCAACGGGGAACAAATAACAAAGTCACCTTGCGTAAAATAGAATGCATTTCGGTAACGTTCTGGAATCGATATGAAAACTTCTTCACCTTGCTCCGTCAAGGAAGAAAACATATAGTTACCACATGATTTCACTAACTGAAAGTGAGAATAATAACTCATTGCGTACCTTGCATATAAATTCATCTGGTTCTACGGTGTTTGAGTTTTGAAATAAATCTTTTTCAGCTTTTTTACGCTTTGGTAAAGACGATGGAAGTATCATCTAAAATGTTTAAGTTGAAATACACTAATTTTAGCTTTGTGATAATTTTTCTTTGAAAAAATTCTGAAGAAATACATTTACAAAGCATAGTAACATATTCTGAATATAAAAGCACCCGAAAGATCGATACTGAAAAGAACTTCTGGTCATAGGACTATCGAAAAACAGATGCTGGTAATGCATCCTTCTTTAGGCGGAATATCAGTTATACGGATAAAGAACACGAAAATTACCATTGTTCTGTGTCTTATCGTGTCCTAATTGCTATCACACGGAATCTAATGATCAGTGTAAATGAAAAGTATTTACACTTATGGCCAAAAGTTTCAAGAAAACACTAGAATTGGTTTTTCTGTGTATCACTATGTTTTGAGATGTAAAACCGTCTTCTTTAAAGCAACCAATAATTTTTGCCTAACCTTTAGTCAGAGTATCTTACTTCTCGTGTTGAAGTGTTACATTCTTGAAAAAGATGAATTTCCCAGGATTTATACAGCGTTGGTTGCAGTCTGGAATGATCAACTGATACACAATCCGAAAAGCCGACTACTCATTTCAGATAATTCTAATTCACAAGTAAACGGTACGGACTAGAAAGTTTGGTTCACACCCATCGTCTTTTAGTGCACATATTCCCTTATGATTAAACGAGAGTCTGTAGGCAGTAATAAACAAGTAACGTTAAAAGACATATTATTCCATCGGAAGGACGTTTGGAACTAGAGGAAATTTCACCTTTACATAAAAAGAGGACAGACCACCGCATATTTTTTCTGGAGGACCTACCTTGGAGAAAAAGATGAAGTCTGGAATTTGAGAAAGATATATTACAACAATAAGCAAAATACAGATATGAGATCTAAAAATTGAGGTACAGGTTTATGATTTATCCATTTATGTTAAGTTCGTTCACACAGATAGATCCATCAAATTCATATGACCAGTACCTGAAACGCAAAAGAAAGAATTGCAGGTTTTAACACAAATGATGTTCAAAAGTGCCTAAAGTCTCTGAACCCTTCCCAGAGCTTAGGTCCAGATCATGTACCTAGTATTATTTTTTTTAATGTTCTGATATTCTGTGTTACCCTCTCACTGATCTGTTTGACAAATCTTTTTCCAGTAATTTTGTGCCTGCCGTTTAGAAAGACATTAAAGTTGTACCCATACCTAAATCGTCTACTGGAGCATGTCAAATTTAGACCCAGTGCTATTACCTCTCCTTTTTTGAAAACTATGGAGAAATTACTTTTACTTAGTCTTGTACCCTCTCTTAAATCCTTCAATGACCCAAAACAATTTGCCTATAAGCACAGTAGAAGCACTTTAGATGCAGCTGCCGTCTTATATCATAACATTGCTTCCAGTCTAGACAAAGGGGCTAAATTTGTTCGTTGTGCCTTCCTAGACTATACATCTGCTTTTGCCTCGGTCCCTAGGGACATCTTATTCAATAAACTTGCTGCAAGTCAAACAGAATGTTGGGCTGTTAACTGGTTACATTCCTATTTCTCAGAAAGAAAGCAGTACACCGTGTATAAAGGGAAGTCTTCCACTTCATTGCCTACTGAAACTGATGTCCGTCAAGGCGCTGTCCTTTCTCCTTTTCTTTTTTCTTTCTTCTTACATGACTTGCCTCAGTCTGATGAAATAAACTTTGTGAAGTACGCTGATGATTTAACTGTTTCAATGGCTGTTAACTCCCAGCTAGATTTTACCAAAATAAATAGCTTTCTGTCGGGAGTCAGTAAATGGTCTGAGTCTAATGGTCTTAAACTGAATCCTTCTAAATGTCAAACTGTTAATTTCAGCTTAAGATGTAAACGACAGTTAAAAGACGCTGTCGATTCTCATGACAGTTGTAAGATTGATGACAGTGATATAGGAATTAAATCGGAAATTAAGTATCTTGGACTTATTCTGTCTTCTGATCTCTCCTGGTCTTCCTATGTCTCAGCGATCTCCAGTAAAATATTCCACCTGACATTTTACATTAAGAAGTTAAGGCACTCGGGTATAACTCAACCCCTCCTGTTACAGTTCATAAACTCTTGCATCTTACCTATTCTTCTTTATTCTTCACCCTTATTCTTTCCTGGTTTGCTGAAAAAGGACTATGTCACAATTCGTAGAATGCTGAAGACTGTCAGTAGGATGAGTGGTGTCCCAGTGGACTACCTACTTAACGTCGTTGTCAATAGGCACTTGACTTCGTGCAGTAAATTTGCTATTGGGATTTTGTCTGACTTGGAGCATCCACTTTACCCTCAGCTTTCACCTTGCATCTCCTCAGGTAGAACAAGTAACTTCAGAAAACTGTATGCTCGCACGTCTAAGTATAAAAATTCTATGATACCATACTTGGTACGTATTTTATGTGACGAAAATAGCGTCAGGCAAGAATTGACTAACCTTTTTTCATCTAGTAAGTAAACAATCTCCTTCATCCATCCTTATATACCTTCAAGTTTTACTTTTATGATTTCTATTATATTTATGGTCCTGTTGATTCTTGGTTTTTACTTTCATAACTGCAAACACTAACTTATCTCTATGACTTCTGTAATCATTCTTTTTTCCCTCACCATATCATGTAAAGAGAACATTATATTCAATATTTTTAATTATGCAAGGATTTGTATACCGCATCGACAATACTGTGTGAAACAAGCCCACAGCAATTTCCACTTGTATTATTATCATTACCTTAGCTGCTATCATTATTATTATTTCCATTGTATACGCTGCATGTTTTTTTTGTTTTTTTAATATTAACCCTATTGTAAATGTGGAAAATTTTCTATGTGGTTAATTTTATTTATAATTTGAGGAAATTAGATGCAATATTGTGATTAATGCCGAAAATTCCATTCTGTATCACAAGTACTGCTTTTGGAATAAAGCAAATCATTATTATTATGATGATTATAATAATACAGTACAAGTATTATTCAGAACATATTACAACTATATCCATCGGAGGAAGGAGTTGTCTGAGTGCATTCGGTCAGTATAAAATACTACGGTCTCTTGGCATATATAATACCTCCTTAGACTAGCCAACGATGGTTCATTTTCTAGTAATTACTCGCAGACAGTGCATACATGCTTGCATTTCTACATACAGCTGCGATATTCGCACGAATCATCCTTAAATATCAAGTGTACTTCAGCCTCGAAAGGGGCCAATGGTGTCTAAATCCTACATAATTAGGGCAATTCAGGACCAACACAACGTACACTATTGATTAGTCTTACAATTATAATGGATTGTGAATAATGAAAAAGCAAGAATTTAAAACTGGCTCACCGGGACCACCTCGTATATCGTGACCCTACTGTCATGATTTTCAGACAAGCCATTTGGGGTATGGGCAATTGTTACTAAGGGTGCAGCACTCAGAATTGCAGCTAAGGCCCTTGGTTTGCATCAAACACTAACGAAAAACCCGGATTCACATTTTGCTCAAAAACCTTAGTAAAATCTCAGAAGATGCAAGCCACGAATATTCACGCGGCTACTGACTGTACTTTTCTACACTAACTTGATGACACGCCATTTACTAGCAGTGCAATACACTCTGTACTTCAACAATGGGTTGAAGTTGACTGAAATGTGACAGTTTGGCAAACAACTGGAATTTCTTTCTAGACATCGGTACTACTCGTACAGGATATCAACTGGAGTTCGTAAGTGGTAGACTGTAAGCTTTTGAGATGTAAACTGATTTCGAGCGAATATATTGAAGAAGAATGTGGGATATGCACAATAGTTACATCAAATCTCGTCGAACTTCCATCTATGTCTTTCAGTACAAAGCATATAGAAGAGACGACACGAACGAAGCATATGTTGATACTCATTATATATTTTCATTAAGTAAACGCATATGGATGTGCTGGTTGTCCTGTCATGCATATATGTATCTAGTCTCCTTAGAAGAGAAGGAAACTGCACAGTGAATAACAGGTAAATATCCTAGTTTTGCAGGCCAAGTAAAGCCTTAACCACCAGTAAGTACGGAAGTACAGTTAGATGGAAGTACAACGAGATTTGATGTAACTATCGTGCATATCACACATCCTTCTTCAACCTGTCTGCTGGCAATCACGTTATTATTTATCGAAATCTTACAGTCAATAATTTACGAATGCTGGTTGACATCATGTACGAGCAGTACCGTTAATCTAAAGAGAAAATACGACTGACTGTCAAACAGTGCCTTACACTTCAATCAATCTGTAACCTCCAAGCCGATTGTACCCTAACGTGCACTTACAGTTGCTGATGACGGCGGGCTTTAAGATCTCGCCGCAAACTTGGTGCAGTAAAACAGTTTCATGTCTTTTAGGCACAAAAACTTAAACGCAACCATCCATGACCTTCAGTTATTGCTGAAAAAAATGCATTTGTCTTTTATGGGCCTAAGTCTATCCTGATGAAAACCTGCAATGAGACTGCTGGTAATTACTATATCAGGAATAGGATGCAAGCACTTTTACAAAGAAAGTATGTGAAGCGATCGATCCCAAGGATAAATCCGTCAGTTTTTTGTGATGCATCTATTGCTACTGTGAGGAAAATACTCAATATGCTACGTTAACGAATTAGTATGCAGACTGTTCCGATTGATAGAATAAGGGCATTCTAGCTCCACCATGCCAGTGTCAAATATGCTCTAAGAGACGATAATGAATACAATATTGTAATTGACATTATAACATAGATTGCGAGAAAAGGAGCACGATTATGTGGCATATTCCTTTCTTAAATTGGCTGGGTTTGCTTTACCTGGTGCGTAATTGAGAGTTTAATTTGGTTTGGGCAGGGGCTTATCCTCTTCGTTTGGTCCAGGCAGATGTAAATTACTCGATTATGATAATTGTTCGGCTTTGATTAGGCTGATTTCTCCGTGAGTCGTCGTCCGGCATTGTTTCTTGGCAAGAAAACATTGTTTCTGTGTCAGGATGCTGGGATGTGTCTCGTGTGATAATTATTTGGTATACTGAGGGTGCTTCCCTTGGTTTTCTATGACTGGCTTTGGATAATTCCTATGAGGCTTCAAGGTAGCATGCACTCAAATGTGACTTTTCTGACCAGCTGATATCCGTAACCTATTTTTAGTGCAGGAAGCTAAAAACCTGATAACCACCGAATTCATGCTTCTGAACACTTATGTGGTGATTGATTTCTGAGTGCCAGTAGAATCTACAGACGTAAGCGAAAATAATTTCCATAACCGGACGGAAATTACGTAATTAATTATCATAAAAGTTTTTGTATTCCCCAACAAATGAAAACAAAACGACAAAGACCGAAGTAACTGCACAAAAATAAAACAGACTTCTAGTAATTCTTAAAGCATTAACTCATTAATTATTATGCTGGTAACGGTACTTATGCACACCTCGTTTGAAATTTATTTAGCTACTTACTAAGTTGGTTGACTTCATGGGATTCTTCACCGAAGACAATTTCCAAAATCATTGATTTTGTACTCCATGCTAAGTCATTGGATTCATTCCTTATTCTTCATATTGTTATTCCATTTGATGGGATTGAATGTTAACTTTTGCGAATGTTGCGAGCCACGCAGTTTGAGAGATTATGCTCATTTCCTATATTGAGTAGGACGTTTCGAAGAGGTACTTGCCTTTGAATTATATCGTGGTCATTATGCATTCTATTTTAGCAGTCTTGATAAATTTGTTAGCAGTAATTATTATCAGTACTACCATGTGCAAAGGAATTTACGTTACGAAGAAAATCAGTGCGAAAGTCAAGGGCTGGAAGAATCCGCTAAGGTCGATACGGGTGCTCAGGTAACGGATAATTGATACTTTGAAAATCAGTGCAGGAAATAAGCGATAGTGTTATTAACCCAGCTTATACGCGAACTTTTAAATATATGCATTTGAAAGTAGTGGTAGCCTGTCGATAATCTAGGAGGAGATGTTTTCATAAGTAGGACTAAAGATGGAACTGTAAAAATGAATGTATCTACAGGCAGAATCAGCAGGCCAGTATACTCATTTTGAAGTAAGACGCAATCGGGCAAATAATTTCAAAGACAAGGGCACAGCAGTCTCCTGACACTGATACCTCGGTGATTAAAAGACTGTTATCCTTGAATTACGACTGAAAGTATACAACATGCTCAATTCTTATTCAAATATATTCGGATAAAAATTATCCTAATACTAGTTCACTCAGAATCCTGTCTTTTGAAAAACTTACACACATGACGTTTACTTACAGTCCTGAATTACTAAAGGTTTCTTGATAAAAAAAGATTATCTTATCGCCAAAAAAGTGGACATGTCCACGTCTCCAAGAAAATATTTAGATTATCAAAGCTTTTAGATCCGTCTTTACTACTGCGAAAAGACCACACCTGGCTAACTGTTCATGGTCACTTACAAAGTAAAAATAAATCCAACGAAGGCGGTGTGATTCTGACTTCTAGATGTCAGAATGCATCGTAAGGCAAAATTATATCCATAGGGTTATAATGCTAGAAGCATGATAATAATTCAAAACCAAGTGTCTCCTGTTCGCAGCCAAAGAAACTACCACGTTACCTTCTAGTCACGTCAATGGATGATTCGCCAATTAAGATAGTGTAAGGAAGACCACTGGTTATGGGAAAACCTGTTTTTCAAAAAGTGTGTACATTCCGCAGCTGAAGGTAAGCTAGAAAATATATCGAGTAGTAGCAAATATACGAGAAATTAGAAGTGAGCATACAACGGAGGGTTGATCGAAGGAAACGTGCTCTCACTGAGCTCAAAGAGTGGGTTACAGTTAGTGCATTACGAAGACGTGCTTGATATTCCATGGAGTGTTTATAGCGCTGACGTTCGCTGACGTAGGCACGTGTTATGTGATCGTTTTTTTGCTTCATTTTCAGAGAAGCAAGTTGAAAAATGCAACCATGGGTAGATTCTGGTGTATGCAGTCGTGAGTTTGTGTAAATTGTTAAGTAGCAGCGATTCTTGTGTCCCTTAAACATTGTGAAATATCTACAGATATGGACACATTTTTATTAGTTTTACACATGATGTAGCTTACACATACCACATATCCCTGTGACGTATTAGCTGAAATGACAAAATTGGCTTGTTGGTCCGCCAGCATCGTTTCGTTGAACTAAAGAAGGCGTTAGTTCAACAGGAGGCCGAGATATGGGGCAGCAGGTAGCAGAAACTAATACAAAATATTGCCTGGGAGTTTCTGCTCTGGAAATGAATTTTAGGTGGAGTAACGGTAGTCGTTGACATTTATTTAAGAATTTACTTAAGTGAAGGACGTTACGTTTGTAGGATAGCTTTCCCATGCTTGTGAGACAATTTATTGACTCATTTGTGACCATGACGCTCATTTGTGTCATCCTCTCTCTGTTTCTCAGGTTGAGTATGGGAGGTTCAAAATTTTGCCCTGGAATGATTGCAAGCAACAGGGACAGTTAGAAAATTCGCCCTCAGCATAGTTTTTATAAGGTTTCTGCCTTAATTGTATTTCAACAATCATGTGAATGCTCTGACAGCATTTCGATTGTCTCCTCTACCAAGGGATGCCTGGTTTTGCATTAAGATGTTGGAACAAGGCAGTGATGGACTTTTGGAACTTGATGTGCTATTAAGGTTACGACAACACTAACACGCTGAAACATTTTTTATTTACAGGTGGAAGAGATAAAGTGTATCACTTCGAAATGTTGTGTCCTGACCTCATGTGATTTTATGTAGACAAAGTCTACAATTTATAGGCATAGAGTTTATTGAGAGTGGAAGACACTGAATGACAGGCCATGAATCATTATAACCAGACCTTGTCTGACACAAATATCTGATGACTGCTGATTATCTCAGTGTGAACTACCACCACCTGAGGTTGATGATGATTGGCTGTTGTAAATAACCTTTAATTTATGTGTAAATGTAATTCACAGATCGTTTTGTTCAACGCAGCAATAGTGTCCGGTAATTTTTACCTACCTTACAAGACAGTAGTTTCTCAATCTTACCTCTTTGTAGTCGTATTATTTCTTTATATTGAAGGAACAGACAAAGTGTATGTCAAGTCACCTTATGTTCCAACTATTTCAAAGCTCGGTCTCCATACCATCAGTATAATTATAATCTACTTTACTCCAAAACAGTAATTAAGATGCAGAGTGAATTTGTCAGCATTTGGTACAACATTGCATTTACCCGACAACAGCAAACACAAATAAAAATAGTACAACGTATATGTAACCAGGATAGATAATAGCAACATTTTGCCATTTACAGCGGCAGTAAGTACACATTGTAAAGACCGAAATCTGTAGATAAACTTAATCCTACGACTTCCTTTTCTGGACACCAGCAGTGGTTATCTTAACTACATCTCCAACATAATACATGTTACAGAATACTTACATTTGCATTAGCTGCGTCAAACAAATACCTGGAATAATGTGCACATGATTTACATTACTGCTGATTGCACATTTTACCATTTTCAATAGGGGAGAAGTGTGATGTGAGGGAGTCTGCAGTGTTTATTAAAACTGCACACGGGGTTTCATGATACAAAACAGAAACGTGGGTAAAAAAGTATAAGAATAAAAATGCAGTATGAGGGATGCTTACGAAATAAGATGACATGAAAGTAGTACAAAGAGTTTCATAAAACAGATATACAAGCATCTATAACACGTAGTGGTCTCTGAGATTTCGAAAGATTGCATCCAACTTTTGCTTCTTTTGCAGAACTTAACCCAATGTCAGGATATAATGTTCTGAGGAGGTTACACAAGTTGATGTCCCTCACCACAGATGTAGATAAGCGAGTTATGGATATCGTGTTTTTACTGTATTTTCAGTTCCATTTACTTTACATTTTCCGGATTCTTGATATCAACTCGTGATCAATTCTGTAACCAGTCAAGTCTCGAAAAACCAAGACTTGACGATTAATCTGGTGCTCACTAGAGACTGGTTCTACGCAGCAATTTATCAGGGGTTCTAGTAAGATTTCATGACAAGCAGGGCCCGCCAAGAAAGCCAAGAAGGCCTGTGACGTTGACTAGCGGTTGCGCTAAACATATGTGTATATATCACGAATCGACAGGATTTGGAATCCGTGGATTATTTCATTGCGCCCCAGAAGCGTGATGGTCTGCAGCTCACCTCGTCCTGGCTGCAAATCGCGGTGGGTGAGTGCTGATAGAGACTCCCAAACTAGGACGAGACCGCTAAACTGTAACTCAGGTTTCTCAGTGGTTCTCTAACCGATGTAAACTAGTAATCAAACCTTTATGCAGTCAAACCCCTAAAAATCAAAACCTGATAATTAATGATAACTTTTACTTCAAGTCACTTTTGCCTCAGTCTCACTACGGCAATTCCAACTCCGTGTTAGCTAGTGATCAATCCCTTATTTCTGAAATTGTAACTGTTATAGTTCTTGAATCGCACAGTGTAAAACTGTGAGCAGGAAAGGTACCAGAGGTAGATTATTTGTGGAACTCTTGTGTTGTTTTCAATTTGAAGCAGTGCAGAATTGGCGAGGAAGAAGCAACAACGTCAAAACAACAAAAGAATAACCCTATATGACTTCCCTACTTGGCATAAGTGTCCTGCTTGGACTGTAGTCTGAACGATATTGTTCGGATCGTTTTTTGTGCAATGAGGTCACTATCAGGTCTTTTCAGCAGTGAGGTGACATTCCATTCAAGGGAGAGCTGGAATATCGTAGTCAGAGGTCTGGCTGTGAAAGCTAGCAGCTCACTGAGAAGCCTCCTCCACAAGCATGCTTGGTAATTCTTATCATTCCACTATTCGGAAAGTTATTAAACACTTTAACTTTCATCATCAAGTAAAAATGGAAGACGGACAGCTCCTGATCACCTAAACTCAAGTGAAAATACAACCAGAATAATAAAAAATAGCCTAAGCTCACCTTGAAAGTCATCACGTATGAGACGCCGAATGACTTAAGGATTTGTGTGATTTCATCCACCAGGTAAATCGACATTTTTAATCAGTCGCAACAGTGTTTTTGTTTCATGGAACAATAAGGCTCGAATTGCGATAAAACTGGGTTACAAATGGCCTAATATGCACAAAAATGTGAAATGGCATATAAAGTACAACTTCGGTACTTCAGGGTACAATTTTAGGCCTAACACAGCGGTTATTGACTTGCTTTGATGGACTACATAAGCTATGTGTACTTCGGCAACTATCCTTCTTCTTCGAGAACCCATATTGTTGAGCTTTTCACTATGGTATGTTTTCATACGAATATGTTTATCTAGGCACCCAACTCTGCTTCAAAGTTTCATCAGCGTGTAGCTGACCAATTTCTACTTCTTTTAAAATAACGTCGGGTCACATACAAGTTCTCTGATGGTCCGCAGTCAAAGTTCCGTATAGTCTGTCATTTCCTGTCTACCTCATGATCTTCTGGAATAAAAGAGAGTAAACCTTGGTGAAAATCTTTAGCAATCTGCTTTCAGTAACGGTCCAACTCTACGTTGAGTATCAGCACTGTTTCATTTTTAACTGTACTTTCTAACACTTCAGTTGTACCTTATTTATCACTTTACGTAAATGAAGCAGTTTGTAGTTAATTCTGGGCCGTTGTACATTTATTATTTGAGTACACGCTTTGTTAACTTTTAGCCATTCTGTTTTCAGTATAATAATTTATATTTCGTATAAAAGGACAGGTTTGCAAGAAATGCATTCTATTTTCACAAGCACGATCAGATATTTTAAAAATTATAGTCCTGAAGTATCATAGATTAATACTGTTTCAAAAGTTTAAATTGTTCAATTATTGTATAAGCAATCACAAAGGTTCGTATAAGTGTTAAATTGTGAGCCTTTCACTAAGGTCACCATGAAGGTTGAGAGCTGATAGTTATGGTCAACCAGTGAACAGACTACATTGGAGTAAGTGCTGTGCCCACTTGTGGTTAAAAGCTATTTCGCTAAGAGAAAAAATGCCCTGGGAAGCTGCGAAATGGTGTAAAATACAACAAAAACCACAGAAAATTTCAATGTCAGACACAATTACCGAGATTAACACGTTAACCAGAGACTAACTCAGCTATCCATAGGTCATTTTAAGTTATGAAGCTGATATATTTTGTATGTTACTTTGAGTTTATATCAAACCTTAAATCGAATTTGAAACTCAGCCAGCAACCCCCTGTTTCAACCACAGACCAGAAATTTGAACAAGAGTTCGAGCGCCGAGTGCTAAATTGATCAATAAGTGGTATACCCGACCAGACATATCCCTACGACCATTCTGATGCCTGAATGGTGGCACTATATTAACATTCCTAATCTTACTTGGTGAGTTGTACGCTAATTAATCCAGACTACTTCTTGCTTATGTAAACATCCACTTGCCAGGATGTCACCTGGAAAATGCGGCAATACTATCAGAGTTTGGAGGTTTGTTTCTTGCATCAAAATTTGAGCCACTAGCATTCACCAATGATTTACATTGTTGCGTTACTGCGATGCGTTATTGAACTTTCACTGTAAAGCAGAGTTTACCAGAGGAGAGGAGCCTACAATATTTAATAATCTTTAGACTCTAAAGCCTCTGTAGGCGGTCGACTGCTCTGATAACAGGATAATTCAATGAAAATAGGGTACTTCAGTCAATAACTAATCTAAAAGGAGTCACGATTCCTGGTTTGTAAGATTGAAATTGGATATTGTACACTAGCGGTAGTTTGATGAGTTTCGAAGGTCATTGAAGTGTGCTTGGAAGTTTTTAGTAAAGGCCTTTGTGATTAGGGGTCTTCCTGCTTTTAATAACACTATGTTTCAAATATTTTTGGTTTTCTTTTAAGAACTTAAATTAGGTATCTTCTGTAACACTTACGTCCCTTTTTATTCATTATTTTCGTAAATATATGTATTTTATACGTAAAACTCCCTTATTCGTGTGATTGGTGCATTTAAAGTCATATGTCTGCTGCGTTATTTTGACACATAATGTATAATTGCACCCGCAGGTACAGAGATAAAGGAACATTTCTCATGTAACGTGTGACCTATCATACCCAAGCTTACAACAATTCTAAACTTATTCTAACCTATGCGTCGATAATGCCTTTTTATGGTAAATGAAGATTTTATCTACCCACTATGTTCTGAAATAACGCTGGTCGTGCTTAAAAAGAGAGCTGATTGCTGAATTAAGTCTTGTCGTCCTGAAATAATGCTAGTCAGTGCTTAATATGTCCTGTAAGGGCTGGAATAACGCTGATAAGCAAACCCAGTATGTTCTGATCTACTCCTAAAAATGCCGAGAAAAAGAACACGGTGCTGAATTAGTTCTAGTCATGCTGAAAACCAGCACTGAGTTCTAGTCTGTGCCATTAAACAAACCACTCGAGAACAGATTCAGAATTTACTCGCTATAGGATGCTAGAGTTATTTCAGAATTACTGAGATTTAATTCAGCATTATTGTAAGCTTGGGTACACACTAAGGGAGGTATATTTATTGCTACTACTAATAATAGTGACATTGGGTTTCTATCACCAGCAACACTAATTCTCGTCATCTCAGGTGACAACTCGTCGTAAGTATTAATACAGGTAGACCCGTTTAGGTAGACACTAGTGAATAACATCTCGTACTTATTTGACAGTCCACAGTTAAATACATCTGCAGCAACTCTTGAATTATCAGATCTGGTTTGGCGCGTTGGAATTTAATGATTATTACCTTGCTCTGGAGGGTGCAAAGATATTTTATCAGTGCACACTCACCTAGTCATATAAAGTTTGTTTTCATGGGTTCCATAATGGATAAGATTTTATTTTGATAAATCACACAGTGTTGTACAGTTATATTAACTGATGACGTTTCGAGCACAAACTATAGTTTGTGAGCAATATATTGCTCATAATCATATCATGGGTTCCACTTCGTTTTCGCATAACTGTATGTCATATGATCTTAGATACCATGTTGATTAAGTTGGCCTCTTTATTTATCACGGGTTGATGATTCCTTTTTAATAAACTAAGGTCGTCTCGAGCTTTCTTTCTTATTTTAGTATTTCACTTACTGTCACTACACCAAAATATTTCTACAGGTTGTGATGCATACAAACGTTTTAGGTTAGAACCATCTAATGCATATTCGACTTCAGTTAGCTTGGGGTAAATAGCTAAAGTACATCCATCCACCCCTTACCGTCTATGAATTAACTAACATTTTAATTCTTTATTTTCCACTTCCACTCACTCTTACCGTATTGACTGATTAAATTTCACCGTAGAACCTTGCACAGAAGTACAACAGTCCAAGTTGCCACACTCAATGTAGCCTACAAAAGTAAAAAACGAAATTTAAAGGAATTTTAATTAGCAGAAATGTGCAGGTGAAAGAATAACAACACGAAAACTATGGGCTTATAGTGGGTGTGGGGGTCACAAAGAGTCCCTATCACCAGTAATCCCCAGCTATTGGATCCTAG